TGCATGTAGGGAACAATGCACTGGTAAAACAAGCACACTAAACCAAACAAAATCATATTCTTATGGCGTTTAAGGGTTAAAATGTGGGTTTAAAATGGGGTTTATGAGGGGGTCCCATACATGTCAACTTGTACGGATTGTCTGTAAGTTATAAGGATTTTACGTCATTTTGCAGGTGTACAGAGCAATCTCATGGATTTTTTCAAGTCTTACAGACTTTTTTCAAAACCTCATTTTCAAATTCATCCAACATGTCAGAGCCTGTTGGATGATTTAAAAAACAATAATTAACATCAAACAGCCATCTTCCAACCTTTGCTATCGCTAGAAATAAGTTTTGAACTTTCTCCGCTCTCCTCTCCTCCTGCTACGCAGCGGATTTTGAGCAAAATTTATGGATTTTTGAGGCTTTTTGTACATGTAAACCTCCGAAGAGGTTGACATGTATGGGGTCCCTGGAATTTTTTCACCCTTGTAAGACCCCAAAAAGTTTGTGAACCCCTGATAAAGTATGAAACTCTGCTGGTGGGCCAAATCACTTGGCTTGGTGGGCCAGTTTTGGCCCGCGGGCCCCACTTTGGGCACCGATGGTGTAGATAATGCGCGAGAACTAACCATCCCGGGACCCTAAATTTAACTTCTATTAGCCTATGTAGCCTATCCCTGACCTCAGTACCTAAAATTAACCAAGAATCCTGATCCCTCATATCAACCACAGACCCTCAACCCAAAGACCCAAAGACCCAATGATACGATACATATCATGACAGAGGGGTCACAATACAATATATCCCGATGTATTTCAATACTGTAAACAAGGCGATATATTGCGATATTTTTGGTCCAAAAATATTCTCTAGTTAGYTTTTTGTGTTAACAGGGAACAAAACAGTTGGACCTTATACAGTGAGTGTTAAACTTTCATTATTAGTTGTTTCTGAGTTTCTGAAAACTTACTGGTGACAGAGCTGAATGGGTTTTATTACTTTCCCTCTCCTCACCTCTTTTCCTTTTCTTTCCGGTCTTTGCAGCCTGTGGTCTGACAGGACTCAAATCAGCTTTGAGGGGTTTTTTTTTTAGCAGAACTACGGTATTTTGRTATTAATGTTTCAGTGTATCTAAGTCACAACAAAAGCCAAAATATGCCCATTGCAGCATTTTAGCTGTGAGTGTAGCCTATAATTTTGGAGCCACAGTTATTCCCGACCTGCCCCGTAAGCATGGGTTGTTTTGTTTTGAAGATTTTGKGCCGTTACTCAGACTTCGGCAGTGATCCTCGGTGGCTTATTGTTCCTGAGTGGATGCCACAAGTGATTAGGCTGCTTTACTCGCAGCACTAAACATCTTAGCTGTTCTCTAAGGAGCATAATAACAAAGTTACTTCACAGAGCAGAATGCAGTGTGTAACATGAAACMCAACTCATTTTCCCAGAAACCGTTTCAAAGCAAAGACAGGGTATTCCCAAATTACTGTTCTGTAAAATGTTCCCCCACCGAGTCGCCATGAATGATCAGAAATTATTTAAACCTCTCAGGCTGTTATTACAGATTTTTTAAATTTATTTTTTCATACCAACGCTGGTTTATTTATCAACGCTTCTTTCACAAGAGCAGTTCTTAGAAAATTGCTCTTCTAAAGAACAACCGGAGGAAGATTTTAGTTTTTGTCTAAATTCACAGTAATCACCGAGGACTGTCTTTCATAAAGCTCCTCTGGAGAAGGCCTCGATTATTACTCACCTTTCAGATGAAAAGAGTTTATTTTTAAGCACTTTCATTTTTATGTTGCCGAAGGCTGTTATTTGCCTAATATTACAGCAATGTTACAAACAGTTAAAATGCTTCAGCTGCAGAGTAAAAACGTGTTCTGTCTCGATGCGTCTCRTAACGACAGCCTTTGAGTCACACTGCACATAATTTAGTTAGTTAATAAAGATCAAACACAATAAAGTGGACGTGCCCGACATGTAAAGATGACTTTTATCTGAAGTGGAGAACGTGTCACGGTTTAGAGCATCAGTGGGAATACAAACAGATGTTTGCTGAGGGTTTCAGCAGGTTCTYGTCTCCCTGTAGATTTCTCTACACTGCAAAAACTGTCCACCTAACCAAGTTTTAAAATCTTATATCCAACCGAAGTCTTTTTGATCTTGTTTTGAGACTGATTTACTAAACAAGAACTGATTGTTTAAGAATAATAATCTTGTTTTCAGAATATGTAAGATTATTTGTCTTGTTAGYCTGAAAATTTGACTCAAATTAAGTCAAAACATCTGCCAGTGGAGTAAGAAAATTTTACTTGGTAAGATTCTTGAAATACTTGATTTGACTCAATTTTTTCTTATTTCAAGATACTTGGGAGCCATTAGAGCAATATTATACATGCAGCCAGAGGAAGAAGAGTTGGTAGGTGTTTTCAGGGGTCAGGGTTTGACTTCAGTCATTATTAAGGTAGCAGAATTCATGTGAAAGTGAGACTGCTGAGAGGGACAAGATAGAAAAGTGCTCATCTCTTTCCATCCAATTCTATTGAGATTTATGAGGAGCTGCAATTTTGTCTATGCCTGCATGTGTAACTTTGAGGTTATTTATGGCTCAAAATAAGTTATTACACACACACACACACACACACACACACACACACACACACACACACACACACACACACACACA